CGGCACGGTGATTTACGCAATGGTGCTTAATACATCAACACAGTCATTAATCTTATGGGTGCTAAACAGAGCCTACCATGGACTTGGAAATTGTCAACAATAGCTAAAGGGCAAACGAGGCTTGAATATCATTTCCATGGACAGCTCAGAAAGATTAAACACTGTGATTTCTTTATGGGAGGGTGATTTGGGAATTTGTAAAGGTTTTGAGAAATGAACCCTAAAAGTGCAACTTAAATCCGTGATTTTGAGTCAGGAAATCGGAATAGCAATAACTCAATCATCAACAACTCCTTTACTATCCATCTAATGCGAAAATGATCTCAAGACAGAGACGCGCAATGATACAACACCTATGGGAAAAAGAATATGCACATAACTTGACTATAGGTGGAAATATGTTTCTGCGGAAGCCGCCGGCTGACAGTTGCAGCAATGTCCCATAGGCTTGCGTATTATTGTCGGTCATTGCCAATTAAGTCATTCAGACGTGGCTATGACTTATTTATCAAAAAGTAACATAGACCATGTTCGAAAAATTGACTTAAGGTTTAAAGGCACAATTCTTAAATTTTGAACAAATGTTTTACGTGTTTTTCCCACTTGTGCCGACACCCAATTCCAGGTCTATAGTTCCTGACAACTCAAATTGACGTAGGATTTGATTTGAGACGAAATTAACTTAATCGCGGCAAGAGCTTCATGGAAGAGGAGTTTCGGTAGGTTAAAGTAAGAAGTCCCACCTTTTCCTGATCAACAAGCGTGCTCGTGTCTCCTTCGCGTCTTCCTGCCATGGTATCATCTGACAGTGACATCGAGTCACCCTAACAACACTCACTGCATACCCCTGTCAACCGATCCAAATCAAGGTCAAAGCCTCGGTTTCTACGACGTTTATCATTTTATAGTTGACGCTCGGATGATCCAACTGCATGGGGCAGTTGCGGGTCTGCTGCGAGATGCCGTGAGAACATACGGTAAACCGTGAAGAGCACGCCGGCCTGCGCGCTATATTGGAGCATTTGCCCCCTGACGTACCGTTTAGAGGTTGTAGCGCCACCATATCAAGTGGTGGGTCCTTCAAAATAATCTTTTAGTTGTACACCATTAATTGTTGTGTTCTACTTTGACCATTTCGTAGAGTTGTAGACTCGAGTCACTTGACTCGGTCTCGAGTCGGACTCGAGTCGCTAGTTTTGTGACTTGTGACTTGACTTGTTAAACTATCAGTGCTTGACGTGCATGTGACTTGACTTGGACTGGACATTACCGGTATGGCTTGTAACCAACACAAGTCAGAAAACTACTCGACCCAACCCACTACAGTTTGAAACTAGCTCTATCAACTTATCCCTTGTGCCCTTAAAGTACATGTAATGACTTGTCTGTCCAAGGCCACGTCTGAACCATTTGGCTTGTTTGTTCGGAAGTACTTTAGTTTTTCATTTTTTCCCCCGACTTTCCGCGGTAGCTAATCAACAGCTTCGGTGTTCGAACTGAATTCGGTATGTGCTTGTTCCATCCCATTTAAAAACAATGGGTGTTCAATGTGGAGTTTTCCTAGATTTCTCATTAAAGTCAAAGTTCGCCTTGGCCACAATTAACGCTAGGTGAGCTGTGGCCTTCACTTACTTAAAACCAATGCAGGCCTTGTGCCTCAAACATGCACTAAGTGGCGATACACTTGTAGTATTACCTACAGGCTTTGGAAAGAGCCTTATATTTGAAAAACTGCCATTGGTGGCGTCGACAAGATGTACTATTATCATATGTACTCCTCTGAACTCCATAATTGAGATATCATCATCAACTGTGGACTGACCCTTGACACGTTTAATGTCATAGCCGATACCTGACCTAAGATTTTTTTGTCAAGAATCGTCAGGGAATCTTTGGGCAGGGAACCAGACTACCTGCAAGCTTCCGCAAACACCTCACGCGCCCTCTACGCGTCGAGTACCTGCGAGTACTCAAACGTTCCTCTGTCGCGTTACACAACGTAGAGAGAAAAGTGTCCTTCCAGTTTTTAACTTGTCCACTTTTGACCACCCTGCAGTCGTCAAAGTAAAATCCAAATTTCTGCTAGCAAACAATTTTTTTTCGAAAAGGGATGGTGCAACTGCAAGAAACTCCAAAATCTACTAGCAGAAAATGAGAAAATGGGGTTGTCCTCTTTGGGAGCATCAAATAAAATTTGCTAGCGGAAATTTTAAGTTTTAGTTGTCCACTTTTGACGCGCCACGAAGACTTCTCTAAGTAAATTCCCAATTTTTTCTAGCAGAAAATAGAGAATTTGATTTGCTTTACGCAAATTCCCCAAACCCAAAAATCTACTAGCAAAAAATGAGAAAATGTGGTTGTCCAATTTTGGAGCATGACAGTAATTTTGCCAGTGAGAATTTGAAGTTTTTAGTTGTCCACTTTTGACGCGCCTTAAAGTAAAATCCAAATTTCTCCTAGCAGAAAATTGCGGGTTTTTAAAAAATGCTTTAGGCAAAGTAAAAAATCCCGAAAATCTACTTGCAGAGAATGAGAAAATGGGGTTGTCCACTTATGACGCTCCATAGACAAGACAGCACGGCAGTACGCGACGACGGCCTAATCCACTCTGTATACTGTCTGGATACCAGACCCGATGATTCTGACTATTCTACGAATCAAGGGGTCCAGTATCATCCAAAGCCCACGTGACCAAGGCTGGAGGAATTCCTGCAGTTTCCCAGTACTAGCCGAAATATTCCGAAGTCGTCCCATGATCTCCCATCTATATTCGGCAAGCTCAGATGGTAACGGTACCGTTGATGGACGTAAACTACCGTATCCTAACGGCAGCTGTTGATCCTACAATATTTGACTTTACATTGAAATCAAAGCTCGCCTTGGCCGAAATCAATGCCAATCTAGGAAGAATCAGGACCTGACGACGACTGGCAAATGCCCACACATACAAGGTGCGCCATGCACTGTAATGAAATAAAAAACACCTGGGCTCTCAAATTGTGACCCCTGTCAGGGATCTTTGGGCAGGGAACCAAACTACTCTTTGTATAAAACCAAACAAGTACAGACGACGCGACGCTACGACTGCAAGACGCGCCGGCACGATGGTACGATACAACGCATTAAACACAGCATAAAGGGAATGAGAAATGACGCGATCCCATGACGCAACGGAGCCGTCGTAACGTCTCTTCGTGGCGTCGGGGCGACGGAAACTTTAGGCAATGAAAGGGTGGCACTTACAAAAAGATCTTATGGAAAAACTAGGCCAGTAAGTTTAACCAAGTCTGTCAAGTACCAGGAACAACCTCCTTCTTACGAACCAGTGGTGCCCACAGCGCCTCCTTTTCAAAAATACTTATTTAAAAGATGGGAACTAACCTTAGTCATTTAGCAATTGTGGTTCATAAAAACAAATGGTTTAACAAGTTACCAAAAATTAAAACGGACGAAGCCGTTAACCGGTCGACAACAGACACCATATCGTTTATCAAAACCAGTTTAATTTCGCGGTGTCTTCCGCAACTACTGCATGCGGGGTGGGTTTTGATTTACTGTCCGCGTCTAATCCGTATGTATCTGCGTTGTTTAATTTTCACTTGTATTACACTGTGAGAAAAACCTTATTTGACTGCGTCATGCCTATACCGAGCGACGACATACTTGACGCGTTGCACAACAATTACGATCATCGGAAATTTACAGACACATGCCGACTGTTTAACGTTGATCAAAACAAGTCGTTTAAACAAACGAGAGATACTGTAGCAAACGGATTAGGGACCACTTATTATTACGAAAATGGCTACGTACCGCTCCCGGGCAAAAAATTACGACGCACATGATTTACATGTAACTAATGGCAAACACGCAGGCTCTACTTTTATGGGCTTCGGTTGGGCCAAGCCACCAAAGGGTTCGGGTCACGCGAGTACATATACCGTGACTTGTATTAAACAGTCGAATGCCGTCTCGTTGGCGTGGTGGGATTTCATTCCGAAATTAACCGACGTAGGCATCACAAAGGTAACGAATCTATTAGAGCTTACGTTTACGCGCTGCTGTGAGCGCAAGCTCAGACACAGACCAGTGTATTGGCGACTGGCACCGGGTTTGATGCTCAAAAGCAGCTCGTTACGGTAGTGGAATCTTTAATTAATTCGGAGCCAAACCTGGAGCAGTCAATCAACCAGTTTCAAGATTCGTTGCAATATGTAAAAACACTTTTAAACTTTGTAGTGTCGCCTGGTTTGTACTTGGTTCCTTCTGATATGGACCTACGTATTGGTACGTTTGAAGGTTAGAACAAGAATTTACAAATCGCAACGTCTGACTTGCGAACGGGTTACGTTCCAACATTGAATTCAAGTTCTGTTCCAGAGCGTACCGACTTTGATGACCCAGAAAGTAAGCTTGAGTCTGAGGTGTCAGAGGCTATGCCTAATTTACATATACACTACACTACACTACTCTACTCTACTCTACTCTACTCTACTCTACTCTACTCTACTCTACTCTACTCTACTCTACTCTACTCTACTCTACTCTACTCTACTCTACTCTACTCTACTCTACTCTACTCTACTCTACTCTACTCTACTCTACTCTACTCTACTCTACTCTACT